GTATGTTTATAGTCTATGCAACCAATATTCGTGATGGTTAAACATTTTTTAAAAATGAAAATTGCATTACAATATCCTTAATTTTATCGTTTTTTAAAATTATTGTTATCTAATAAGAACCAAATCTTCTGCGAAATGAATTTGCTTTTCATTGGAACCAACTTAGTCTTCCTCAAAAATTGTCATATTTTTATTAAAAGACAATAGTTTTCTTATTCTATTTAATGGCAGTATAAATGGTAGGAATGAAATGTCTGAAGTTATTTTTCAAAGATTTTCAGTGTCTTTGAGATAAGCTTTAGTTGTTTCGATAACATTTGTTTTGTATTTTTATGATAACTAAGTATAAGCATCATCGCACAAATTTTGAAAATATTGACCAAGTAACGGGTCAAATAGGATCATGGTTATAAGATAAAATGTCTCTCTATAGGATGTATTATTAGGTATAGCAAAAGCTCAAGAAAGGCAGGTATGGCGCCCAAAAGAAGAAATAAGGATGAAAGACAATATTAATGTTTGAATCGATAAAAATGATCAGTCAAATTGACATTTAACTAAACTTAAATGTCATCGTTAAAAATAGTACAAAGGTCTCACACCCTTTCGGCCTAAATACTTGTTTGATGAATTTTCAGGACGCTCCAAAAACCAGCTTTTTTGGTCGTTGAGGTACAGATGACACTACACCGACGAGGGCCAACAGCCCGAAAAGTGTACATGGTTAGCCTATCTTGATTACTCAAGAAATGGTATTTGAAAATGATGGAATAATTAAAAATCAACGATTAGTTGACATTTATTCCGACATGTGGCAGAAGCAATCAGCAAAATTCAATTGCACAATCAGGAGGTACTTTTTTTAATCCCTTAAATGCCTTCATTTTCAACTTAGTGCTGCATATCGATGGAAATCGGTACAATTTTAACATTTCTTCTCAAATTTTCATATATCAAAGCTATTTATAAACCTTGCACTGCAATGAATAAAATAACTAGAGAAATCGCTGAGATGGATAACCACTGGCGTATCGTTCCTCTATCCTCTTTCAGTTTATATTTATTGCTCTATAATGTCTGTGAAAATAGTTTTTAATTAATGTATTTTTTTTAAGTAGCTTTTAAAATAGTACCAATTTTCTCATATAATCAACTAGTCAATAAACAAAATTTATTGTCTTGCAGAAAATCCAGAGCAGCAGCTTTACACACCCAAGATGAAGGACATTACGAATGCTGCGATAGAAATGCATGGAGACATCTGAGGCTCTCCATTGGAGGTGACAACAGCAACAACAATAAGCAAAAATAATGCAGAAAATGTTACTTCTGTCAAAGGACCTAGTTTCCACTGTCACTAGAGAACAACGGGCCCACGTAGGAAGAAATAGGATGAGGTACCACCGCAGGGAGGGTTGTCCTTGCACTTGCGGCGCTGCACCAGCTTCCTGGGGCAGGCGCGGCCTCCGTTCTCAGCGTTGAGCAGCACCATGCGGCGTCGCTCACGGCGGCCACCACCGCAGGAACGAGAGCAGGCTGTCCAGGGAGACCAGGGTGTCACCACGCAGTCTATCACCGGCTGGTCGCTGTGTCGTACAGGCGCTGTGACACTGCAAGTCAGGACCGTGTCGCTTTCACCGGCCGGGAACTTACCGCAAGCTGGGGTGTGCTCGGTCCTAGCGCCGTGGGGGAGAGCAGTGCGGTCTGCACAGCCAGTAACTTCACTCCTCTACACCTCAGTGAAACAGCAAACATTATACCTGAATACGTGGTATCATGGATTGGAAGAATCAGGAAGTGTAGGAAAAGTAGGAAGTGTAGGCGAACCTCGTGGAAAAGAAAGCCAAGAACTTCAGTGAGCGTAAAACGAAGACACGCTGTTGGTGTGGCCTTGGAAGAATAACCGGCGAATAATCAATGGCCAACTATCAGCATAAATTCCAAATATTAAACTCTCCTGTCCGACATCAGAGGGTCCAGAGAACCTCAAGAAATATCTCTATCTTCTTGTGACATGGGATTTATTTAAACCTTTTGTAAGAGAGTGGCAATAATATTTCATAAATGAAAATATAAACATATATTGGATTTGACCCGTTTTATCATTGATATTTGATATTTTCATTTAATTTTCAGATATCTAAGTAGTTCAATCACATTTGTTCTCATGCAGTAGGTGTGGGAATATAGGAGTAGGTGTTGTTGAGATCCACCTCAAATATTGGCTACAAATTTATGGGATATTTATCCTCCTAGTTTTCTCTTCGTGCTTCTTGGATTGAAAAAATAACCGAATATGAAAAAAATATATCTATCCTTTAATTAAAGTTGGAGACTTCATCAACTTTTTATTTAAAAAATTGAAATTTTAAGTTTAAAAAGGTTGATGTGAAGCTTCCAACTTGAATTATAAAAATGTGGTATTCTCAATTTTATGTTTCGTCAGGTTATTATGAAAGAATATTTTCGAATATTGCCGGATATGTATATAAAATTAAATTAGATAATAAAAAGGCATATATTGGATTGAAAAAAAAATATTTATTTGCTAATCCTTTATCAAGGCATTACATTTTTGTATAAACAAATTCATACTATGCGGCGCTGAGTTTGTTAATACAAAAATGTAATGCTTTGATAAAGGTTTGGTGTTCAGACAACCGAAATATTGGCAAATAAATCTTTAATTCAATCCAATATATGCCTTTTTATTATCTACTGATTTTAATATGGATTGCGCTATTTTCAAAACAAATAGAATTAAATGTGAGCAATAAACCTTTCTAAAGACTAATGCCGTCTTAATCGGTGAGACCAGGCTGTTCAATAGACAGTGGCGGTTGAAACGTTGGTGAGTTTAATTCCCTACAAGGTTACTGTGTTTGAACTGTTTATAAATATTTATCTACCAACCTATATACACAATATCTTGAATATTTTATCATAATTACCTCTAGCAACCTTATCTATAAGCAATTCCGTAGACTAGGGTTCGGCAAACTTTTGAGTTGGAAGTGTCAAAAAAATTACAATTTACAAAATCTCAAAGTTTTTAAAGAGCCATAATTTTATTCTTGCCAACAATAAATAGTACCCACATAAATAATATTTGTATGGCACTATATAAAGAGCCGCAGCTTCACATCCAAAGAACCGCAGTTTGACGATAGTTAGACCATAGTTTACAATAGTACTAACAACACTAACCTATTTCGATATTCTATCATACAGTTATAGAATAAAGAGAATATTAATAATAGAGACAAAAGTAATATCAGTCTAAGAGTTATACAAACTCAATCCAGCTGAACCCTGTTTTCAAATCTCGTGAAAAAATATTTTTCATAAAATTTCTTATAAATTCTAAACTGTAGTGGAAATAACTTGATGTCGCCTTTATCTGTTTTTTTTTTTTTAGGAGGAGACGGAGGCAGTTTTGTTCACACTTGGTTATCTCGTGTGTCTTCAATAAAGGCCACTGTGTGTCAAATAGCTTTAATAGTTATTAAAGGAGAAAATTGCTATAAAGTATAAACGTAAACAATATAAACGTTCATGGTAAACGGTTTGCGGATTTCGACAATTTAGAAAGAGGGAATCATATATCGCCGCAACTCTTTTTTTTAACGTGATTAAGGAAGCTTTCGTGATGACATGGCCACGCGGTGAAACGAGGGCGATAGGGGCGTGATAATTTTATTTTACTTTATTTTATTTTATATTAAAAAACGATATATAATCTCTCTCTCGCTTGCCTTGTTTGTACAATATAATTAGCTGAAGAAGGGCTTGCCCGAAAGCTTCCTTAATCACGTTAAAAAAAGAGTTGCGGCGATATATGATTCCCTCTTTCTAAAT